TCGTCGCCCTCGTCGTCGTCGTCGTCATCGTCGTCGTCGTCGCTGTCCACCTGGTCCCGTTGGCCCCACACGTTGCAGAAAACCGAATGCCGAACACAAACCGAATCCATCCATTCTCTGATAATGCAGAAGTCCTTGGACTTTGCAGGGGCGCCCCCAAAGAGTTTTCTGATCGCAGCCTGGGCAAGTACCGTCCTGGAGTTGTGCGACACGCTTATTGGCCTCTTCCTTGTCGCCCGCCGACAACTCGTACTCCGACTCGACCGCGAGGTGGCTGTCGAGGCAGATGGGAAGGGACTCCGCATTGAGCAGGTTATCGATGCTGAGGGGCGGACGAGGAGGCGGCTTCGACTCGATGTCCGTGGCGCCGTGGATCTGCTGGACGAGATGCTTGTGCTTCTCCCCCGCGCACTCTAGCTCGCTAAACAAGGTCGCGACGCGCTCGCGTTGCTCGCGCAGCTGTGACTTCATGCGCTCGAACACCGAGAGGCTCTTGCCAAGCTTGGACTCGAACGTGCGCATCTCGTTGAAAGCCCTGTTGGTCTGGTGCTCCAAGGGTGCCGTGGGCTCGGGGGCGGCCCTCGCAGCAGCCTGACGTGAGGCGGGCACCTTTTGCCACTTGCTGGCGGCCTCCTCGTCTCCCATTTGCCGAAGTGCACGGACGAGGCCCCGCAGCTTCCCAATGTCATTGATGGCCGCCGACTATCTGTCAATGTGCTGCGCAGCACTCGAAGACAGGAGAAGAGCCATATTGCTGCGGACCAGAAGGCGACGACCACCTGCCACGTGGCGCTCTCCAGCTCCAGACACCAGACGGTTGCGGTTGGGGGAGGCCCATCCGCGGCGACACACGGTGGGCCCAGCATTTCTTGCATTGTGCCCACCCCTGCCTGTTCTTCTTGCACCCGCAGAGGCCCGCAAGGCCAAGTAGAGCGGCTGATGGGAGCACTCCACTCATCCCTTGCGGGCGCCTCCAACCGAACCGTTGGCGCCACGGGGCGTCTGCCACGGCCATCCATCTCCCCGGCGCGGGCGGGAGGGGCGCCAGGTACAGAAAATATGTACGTAGCACCCCGCAGATGCGGATAAGAGTGAGGGGGCAGTTGGGACGTCGGCAGTTTGCGAGACTCTGGGGCAGCCCGCCGCAGGCGCCAAAGTTTCACACATTATACAACGAGCCCGCCGCAGGCGCCGATCTTTTCGTTAAACCAATGTGGGTAGGTCGCGGGTGGGTCGCGGGTGGGTCGCGGGTGGGTCGCCGGTGGGTCGCGGGGTGGGTCGCGGGGTGGGTCGCGGGTGGGTCGCAGGTGGGTCGCAGGGTGGGTCGCGGGTGGGTCGCAAGTGGGTCGCGGGTGGGGTGGGTCGCGGGTGGGTCGCGGGGTGGGTCGCGGGTGGGTCGCGGGGTGGGTCGCGGGTGGGTCGCGGGTGGGTCGCGGGTATGTCGCGGGGTGGGTCGCGGATGGGTCGCGGGGTGGGTCGCGGGTGGGTCGCGGGGTGGGTCGCGGGGCGGGTCGCGGATGGGACGACGACAACAAACAAACAAACAAACGAACGAACAAACAAACAAACAAACAAACACACACACAAACAAACACAAACAAACAAACAAACAACCAAACAAACAAACAAACAATTACAACAGCAACACCAACAACCATTCCAACAACGGAACAAGCATAATTCTGACCACGGACCCCCACTTCGGCCACGCACCCAGGGACAATGAATGACCGCTCCCCCTCACCCTGACCAATGTATATATTGGCATGCAGAGACGCGCGCTCTTCTGAAACATATGCTTCTGCAGTGCTACCCGAGCGCGCAGAGGCCAGGGACGAGGAGGAGGAGGAGGAAGAAGAGGAGGAAGAGGAGGAGGAGGAGGAGGGGGAGGAAGAGGAGGAGGATGAGGGGGAGGAGGAGGAGGAGGGCGAGGAAGGGAGGGAGGGAGGGAGGAGGGAGGGAGGAAGGAGGAGGAGGAGGAGGAAGAGGAGGGGAGGGTGAGGCGGGGAGGAGGAGGGAGAGGACGAATAGGAGGAGGAGGAGGAGGAAGAGGAGGAGGAGGAGGAAGAGGAGGAAAGGGAATAAGAGGAGGAGGAGGAGGAGAAGGCGGAGGCAGAGGGCCAGTGCAAACCCAAGACTCACCCACGATGTTGGAACCACCCGCGTTCCAAGCTCTCCCTTCGTAGGCCCCATACATGAGGGTTCAGTTCTACTGAGGGAACTGTCTCGTTGGGATACAACTGTTTGAAGCCCTTGAAGCGTGCCAAGGACATTATTCTCGGGACGGATCAACCTGATTGTTGCGCTCTGACGATCCTGAGCCGTGCCGCAACACCATTCCTGGACCAGGAATGGTGTTGCGACCAACATACGCGTGAAAGAATTGTTTTTGTTCAAAAGGTTTTCGGGTTGAATTCAAGCCCAACCCAGAATTTCGAGCCGTTGCCGCAGCCCGAGTTTGTTTGTCGTTCTGTTTTTCGTGGGTTTTCGCGCGCGCCTCAAACGGGACCTCGCCCTCGCCCTAGCTTCGGCCTTGTAGCCCTCGCTGCAGCCCTGGTTCGTTTTTCGTTTTGTTGTTCGTTTGTTATGTTTTTCCCTTTCGTCTGGTTCAAGCCCCAGCTCGAACCTCGCCCTTGCCCTGGCCCCAGCCGTCGTTTGTTTTTCGTTGTGTTCTTCGTTTTGTTTAGCGCATGCCCCAACTGGCACCTTCCCCCTCCCGCCTTAGCCCAGCCCTCAGCCGTAGCCGCAGGCCGAGTTCGTTTTTCGTTTCGAGCTCCTGCAGCCCAACACAGAACCGCGACATTCGTTGGACCCCCAGGCCCTAGCCGTCGCCGCATCCCGAGTTTGTTTTTCGTTTCGTTTTTCGTTTGTTGTCGTACGCGCCTCAAACGGGACCTCGCCCCTAGCCCGGGCCCTGTAGCCCTCGCCGCAACCTTGGTTCGATTTCCGTTTTGTTTTTTCGTGTGTCTTGTTTTGTCGTTTTGATATATTTTGTTTGGTTGAAGCCCCAGCCAGAACCTCGCCCTGGCCCCAGCCGTCGTCCCATAGTTGTTCGTTGTGTTTCCAGCGCGGTCTGCGAAGTTCGTTTCGTTTTTTGTTCGTCTTGTTTCCTCTATATGAGCAGCGGTGGCCTCGTTTCGTTTTTCGTTTTCGTTTGCACCGGTTTCGCTTTAAACGTTCGTTGTGCAAGAGTCGGGTTCGTTTTGTTATTCATTCTAAACGTCAGCGCGTTTTAAACATCATTGTGGTCGGTCCTTGTTCCTGGTACGTCAGCGGCCTCACAATCCCGAGTCTTTCCAAATCACCACTTCTGGTACGTTGATCATGGGATTCCGTGAAGCTGTTGCACATGCTTAAGACGATTGTGCGCGACGCTAAGGTGAGAGCCACAGTCTGAAAACGAACCGCCCTCAACCTGTGAAGGCCCTACAAGTGGTTAAGACGAATGTGCGTGGCACGAAGGCGATAGCCACAGCTTGAAAACCAATCGCCCTCAACCCGCGAAGCTCTTACACATGTTTGAGGCGAAGGTGCGCGGTGCTAAGGCGAGAGCCGCACTGTGAAGCCGACCTGTCCGCAATCCGTGAAGTTCCTGCAAATTTTCAAAGCGAGTGTGCGCGGCGCTGAGGCGATGAGCCTCATGTTGAAAACGGTCCGCCCTCAGTTCGTGACGGTCGTGCACGTGTTTCAGACGAATGTGCGCGGCGCGAAGGCGAGCGCCACATATTGGAGGCGACCCGACCTCGACGTGCGAAGCTGTTGCCCGTCATCTAGCTTCAGGGTCATGGGTGGCGAGGAAGTCTCGGGCGCAACGCCCAGCCCGCCCGTTCGACGGGCCTCGGGGTGCGACAGTGAGTTTGTTGGTTTCATACGGAAGCGGAAGGGAGGAGGAGAGGGAGGACCAAGACCAGGACTAGGAGGAGCAGGAGGAAAAGGAGAGCAACAGGGAGGAGGAGGAGGAGGAGGAGGAGAAGGAGGAGGAGGAGGAGGGAGGACGAGGAGGAGGAGGCGGAGGAGGAGGATGCGGAGGAGGAGGCGGAGGAGGAGAAGGAGGAGGAGGAGGAGGAAACGAGGAGGAGAAGAGGAGGAGGAGGAGGAAGAGCAGGAGGAGGAGGAGAAGGAAACAGAAGAGGAAGAGAAGGAGGAGGAGGAGCAGGAGGAGGAGGAGGAGGAGGAGGAGGAGGGGGAAGGAGGGGGAAGAGAGGAGGGGGAAGGAGGGGGAAGAGAGAGAGGAGAAGGAGGAAGAGGAGGAAAAGGGAGGAGAGGAGGAGGAGGAGGAGGAGAGGAGGAGAAGGGGGGAAAGGGGGAGGAGGATGCGGAGGAGGAGGAGGAGGGATGAGGAGGACAGGGAGGAGGAGAAGAAGGAGGAGGAGGAGGAGGAGGAGAAGGAGGGAGGACGATGAGGAGGAGGAGCATGAGAGGAAGAGGAGGAGGAGGAGGAGGGAGGAGGAGGAGGAGGGAGGCGGATGATGATGCGGAGGAGAGGACGAGGAGGAGGAGGAGGAGGAGGATGAGGGGAAGGGGGAGGAGGAGGAGGAGGAGGGAGAGGACAGGAGGAGGAGAAGGAGGAGGAGAGGAAGGGAGGAGGAGGAGGGAGGAACCACATGAAGAAAAGGAGGAGTCGGAGACAGAGAAGGAGGAGGAGGAGGAAAAGGAGGAGGAGGCGGAGGAGGAGGAGGAGGAGGAGAATAAGAAGAATAAGGAACACGAGGAGGAGAAGGAGGAAGAGGAGTAGGAGGAGAAGGAGGAGGAGGAGGAGAGGAGGAGGAGAAGGAGGGGGAAGGCGGGGGAAGGAGGGGAAAGGGAGGAGGAGGAGGAGGAGAAGGAGGAGGAGGAGGAGAAACAGGAGGAGGAGAAGGAAGATCAGGAAGAGGAGGGGGAGGAGGAGGAGGAGGAGGAGGAGGAGGAGGAGGAGGAGGAGGAGGAGGAGGAGGAGGAGGCGAGGAACAGGACGAGGAGAATGAGTGGGAGGAACGCCCGCCTCCCCCTCCAGCCGCGAGGAGTCTCCCACCTCGCAGCGGGCTTCGCGCTCGCGGCGGCGCCGCTTGCAGCGGCGGTGGAAACGTGATCTCCTCAAGGCAGGCGGGCAAGCCGCTCTTCCTGTGTGGAGGAGGAGGAGGAGGAGGAGGAGGAGGTGGAGGTGGAGGGGGAGGGGGAGGAGGAGGAGGAGGAGGAGGAGGAGGAGGAGGAGGAGGCGGAGGAGGAGGAGGAGGGCAATATCGGCCCCTCGGTGGCCGCCCCCCCCCCCCCCCCCCGGCCCCAGCCCGCCGCGCGCCGCAGGGGCGCCATAGGCGGGCGAGAGAAGAAGACACAAGGGTGCGCAGCGGCCAGCAGCTGCCCAAAGAAGTGGCGAACAGCGGCCAGCAGCTGCACCAAAGAAGACGGCGTCGAAAGAGCCGTCCTGGCACAGGAGGGGGCGAGCCAAACGCTCCCAGGCGAGGTTGCGCCTGCAGATCCTTGCAGACCGTCAGCGACTTGCAGCACACCACGGCAGCTTGGCGCCGAAGCAGCAGCAGCAGCAGCACGGCAGCCAGCACCGCGCCAGGTCCATGGACCGCACGAGGGGCGCAGGCTAGAGACAGGACGACAGCCACGCCGGGCCTATTGGAGGGTACCCTTGGAGCTGGAAGAAAGCAGCAGCAGCACAACGCGCAGCAGCACGCCCAGTACAACCAGCAGCACCACAACACCCAGCACCAGCAGCACCACAACGCCCAGCAGCACACGCATCACTACGTCCAGCATGACAGCCAGCACGGCGAGCAGCAGTACAACTTGAAGGATAGGGCCCCCTGGAGGAGCAGCTCAGCCAAGAGGACGAGCAGCAGGAGCAGGAAGAGGGCCCAGCAGGAGACGCGTCACGCGGAACACGCGGGCAACTTCCAGTACACCCAGCGGCAGAAGAGTGTGTTTGACAACATCACGCCCGTGCCGTTCGCGACCGCGATGGAGCGCGAGAGCTGGAGTACGCCACCCACTGACGAGGAGATGATGTTCGTGTGGTACAAGACGACATGTCAGAGACTGGCGCGCATGGCCGAGAACATATCAGGGGTTCGAAGCGCCTGCTTGGACACGGAGAAGCTCGAGCAGGAGGCCGCCATCACCGCAACGAACGTCTCGTTCGTCCTTCCACCGAAGGAGCGGCTAAAGCAGCTCATGAGCCTCTTGGAGAAGCTGGAAGAGTAGCACGCGTGCCTGGGGAAGCAGCTCAACCAGATGTTGGACCATGAGGCTAAAGCGTCGCATACCATGAAGGTCTACAAGACGCTGATGAGAGAGACAAGAAACCAGATTCCCAAAGCTGCAGGAATCAAGGCGGAGACATCGGACGAGGACACCAGCGCCGGGCCCAGGAGAGGCCGAACGCCACATCCAACAGCTAGACCGAGGCAACCACCCACGAGCAGGGCACCCACGCCCACTCCACAGCATGAGAAGCCGACGGAGAACGAGGAGGACATCAGGGAGGCCCTCAGAAAGCTCGACGAGCGCCTGGACCAGCAGCAGCGCGGGACGCAGCAAGGGCAGCAAAAACAGTTCGCTGAATGGAGCAGAAGGGAGCAGGCCATGGAGGAGGCCAACAGGAAGCAGGAGCAGGAGACAGAGAGGGCGCGACAGCAGCTCAGGAACGCCGAGACGGCGCACAAGGAGCAGCTACGCAAATTACAGCAGGAGATGGTTCAGAAGGTCCTGAACCACACAGAGGCACAGCTAAGAAGCCACGAGGAGGCCCACCAGTGGGAGATGACCATGCTCACGAAGCGGTTCAACGCCTGGGCGCGGAGCAGGAGGAGGCCAAATCATACGATGCGGAAAGAGGCAGCCAAAAGACGCAGGAAGAAAGAGCGCGCGCCATGATGAACGACGTGAGGAACCACCTAGAGCAGGAGAGGCGCAGTATGCATCAGGAGATGCACCAGGAGGACAGGCAGAGAGCAGCCGTCTTCGCGCAACAGCTGGAGAATGCGAAGCCCGAGGGGGCCGAAATCAGGCAGATGGCAGCGCAGGACGTCCAGAGGCAAGAAAGAGGACGAGGGGAAGCGGAGCTTGCGAGGAAGGCGGTGATCTTCCCCGAGCAGGAACACTTCAGGGTACAACACAGTGCGCAGCGAGAAAAGGGGCATCATATCGCGGCAGCAAGCGAAAGGCTACTCCGAGTGCACCCAGAGGAGAACTGCAAGAGGGACCGAGTCATGAACGCGCTGCAGCAGGAACGCGTGGAGATGGGCGCAGTCGCGCAGGCGTGGCATTCGGAGCAGGAGAAGTACTTGGAGCAGTTCGGCGAGCAGCAGGCGCAGACCCACTACCTGAGGTTGCAGAACGAGCAGCTGCAAAGAGGGCAGGAGGAGGCGGCCGCCCAGGCCAGACGCGCAGAGCTGCGCGCCAAGGAGCGCCGGGCCGCCGCCACCGCCGAGCTGCATGCCATCAAGCAGCAGTACCACCAGGATACGCATGACATCCAACAGCAGCGCGCTATCCAGCAACACTGGCACGCCGTACAACAACAGCAGCGGCTCCGAGCCATCGAGCAGCAGCACGGGCGACAGGCATCAGCCCTTCAGAACTGCCCGATGCACGCCTGGAGCACCGGGGAGCAGATCGACGTCGACATCTTGGGCGAGATGGAGATCAACATGCAGGAGGACATGGAGGCCCAAAATAGGGACCATGCCATGGCGGAGCAGGAGAGACGCCACCAGCACGAACAGCTCGAAGGGCACCTACTGAGCCTACTTCTGCAGCGCGAGTGCCAGCCCCTGCAGCCTGGAACGGCAGCCTACATGCGCGAGCTGGTGTGGCTCGAGCTCGGGCAATCGTCGCACGCGTCTTCGAGACCGTCCCAGGACCTACCGAGCCCGACGTCGGACAGCGACTACAGCTTGCAGGAGCTGGACTTCGCGCCGAGGCCCCTAGCCGACTGCCCACCACCTCCTCCAGTCGGGCCGCCGCCTCTGGCGCCTTCGGAGGACCTGCTCTCATTCGACGACGAGCCAGGCGCACCAGAAGTAGCATGTGTAGAAGGCCTACGGCTAGTAGCAGCAGTATGGGGCAGAGCATATTCCGCGCGGGGAGTCAGACGACGCCGATTTACTCTAGGATGGGCTTCGCGACGACGGCGACGCAGACGACGGCCCAGCTCCCGCTGGCGCGGCGTCGCCAACGACCGCGATTGCAGCGGAATTACCGATCCCAACAGAATGGCCCACCCCGAGATACCCCAACAAATTTCCACCAGCGGCCGCCATGATCTTGACCAGCCCACCGTTGCCGCGACCCGCGAGGGCACGGGCAACTCGGCCGCTGACTGACCGGAGTATAGACGACGCAGCACCGACTACACCACAGGGAATCCCCATCGACGATATCACGCCCACTATGCCCCACGAGTCATAGTCACCGCCACCGCGCTGTCACGCGGGCGCGGCCGACAGGGCCACCTCGGCCCCGCCAGCGCGAGGAGGTTCGAGGAGGTCCGAAGCGAGCAGGAAGTCGAAGAGTCAGCCACGGTAGGTGCGCATCTACGACACTGGGGACGGTTGCGCTGACCCTTCCGACAGAGTGGCGGCTTTTCTCGACAGCGGGAACAGCGACCTTGATGCGGGTCGCATGCCAAAAAACTGATCAAGCACCCGCGGCCTGAGGGGCAACTGGCTCAGGCGTGCGAAGCAATGCCGACGCCAGAAGACAGGGGGCGCCCCTAGCCCAGCCACCGAGATTCGCGCAGTGAGGAGGCTACGCCAGACGCCCACATCCCACGGCCCCTGACTAACCAGGAACAGTCATGCGAGACTAACTGCATCGCCCAACCTAGCACGCGCCGCACCGGTGACAGCCGAGGGGGTAGCGCACCAGCTTCCCAGCAGCATCGCCCCACTAGGGAGCCTAGCGTGCCAACCAAGACACGACTACGCAAAAACGAAAAGCAACACATTTGAACAGCATCAACGAGCAGCCCACTCCGACCCGACCAAACAATTTGCAGCGCGACTACGCCGGCGCAAAAGTAGGACATCTACTCGCCCGGCCAACGCAGCAGCAACCCCGCAGGTGGATCTGGGAGACCCCCTCAGACCGCCAATGCCACCAAACAATGCAAGCACCAATCGAGCAGAACAGGCCCGCCACAACAAGAGCGGGGAAGCTACTCGCGCGGCGGCCGCCGCAACGCCGCCGACGAGGGGCAGCGGAAATCCCCCCCGGCACTTACGGGGCATGGCAGCGGCCCCTTCCTACATGCGACGGCGGCCCCCGCGGCGCCGCGCGCCAGATCCAGCGGCCGACCGCAAGCTCGACAACGCTGCGCCAGGCTCAGCCCACTTGGGATACAACCCCAGGAAGACCCCGCGCTTCCTTGAGACTCCAAGGTCGCTAATGTTCGCGGGGTCGAGTCATTAGACGCGTAACGTAATTTTCTGCGGGTCGATTAATAATGCGCAGGCCCAAAAATTAGTCGACCCGAGTTTTCGCGTTAAACTGGCTTAACTGGGAGGGGTCTCAAAGCCCCAACTGGGAGGGGCCTCGTACATGATGACTATGATGATGTTCAGGCGTTCCTTTCAAAGCATGCGCACAATTGGTTGGCCACAGAACCTCGCGATGCACGCCGACGAGAACGCCCTCGTGGATCTCTTCTGACCCCTCCTTCGGCCAAATGCAGCTACAGATCCACCGAAATCCTCGCCCCTGTAGTTCCGGTGTTTCACTGGCTCGCCGCCTCCCATGCAGAGCTCCAGAAACATGCGCATTTTAGGATTGATTTTGACATGCGTTGGGAGCGCGTCTTCCAAAGCGGCCACCTGCGTGGCAAATTTCGTTGAATGCTCGCGAAGAATGTCCACAGCAAGCGGGCGGTTGTCAGAGAGCGCGTCGTAAGACCGACTCAAGCTTGTCATCGCAGCGTGAACAGACGATTCTACAGCTGCCCGCTGGTCGGCGCCATCCCGACGATCAAGGAATGCATCCGCGATCTCCATCGCCCATGGAACCACGTGCCCGAGCACCCCCGCGCCGCACCTCATCTTAGCCGTCTTCGCTTTCTTCCCCTTCGCGACGCCGCGCGCCAGCTTCGGCAAGC